GGTTAATACTTTTAGATCCAGCCAATCATGTTAAGAAATCACTGAGCGCTCACTCAACAGTTGTGTCTGCTGAACGTGGCCAATGATCCAAATTGAAATGACCCTGTGCTATGATTGGTCAAATCTGAAATTTCATAGCATCACATTGAAATTTTATTCAATGAAATTCCAGATTTGACCAATCATAGCACAAGGTCATTTCAATCTGGATCATTTTGATCTTCTCGCGAAAGCAGCCCTGGAATTCTCTTTTATCAATAAAAGCGCCTCTAAAAGTGGCTAATAAGCCACTTCTGATTGGCTACAAGCCTGCACTTTTAGGGACGCTTTTATCGATAAAAGGAGGATTCAGAATACGGGCCATTGTTTTTAGAAATGGTTTCAGCCGATGATAAGCAATGTATTTACGTAGGAAAAACCGTTTCGACGAGGAGAAAGTAGCGAGAAGAATGCAACGGTACTCGATATTCTACATGGCCTCTCGCGACACAATATATCGCACTTTAGATTGATTTCTGAAAATTCATGTCTCAAAGTCTACAATCTACGAACAAAGAGTCGCCCGTGTAAAATCCTTTCGCGAAGAGGAGGCCGAGCGCGCGCGCGCGCGTGTCTCTCTCGTGTCCTTTTTTTCAGGGGAAAATAGAGACGCGCGTGAACGTCGATCGTCGAAACTGCATTACCGGCGGAGGCGGATTTGCGGAGGCGGAACTTTCAGCGGAGGCGGCGCGGTGCGCGCAGCGCTTCCGCCAACGTCGGCAGCTGATTGGCGCTCGAGACCGTCGGCCTGCGACGTTGATCGCTGTTCTCTAGGAAGTTTCGAGAACGTGCACGGGCAGAGCAAGTCAGCAAGCGGCCACACGATATCGGCGGGCGACGTGGGCGACTCGACTCAGTTCAGTTCAGTACGTGAAACGTCGAAACGCGGACGCGGGTGGCGGAACGAGCGTCGTGCAAAACGTGCGCGGTCATCATTCGCAGCGACACTCGCCTCGCCGTTTGCGTAGGTAAGATAAGGCCTCGCGGGGCTGCCCCGCCGTCGAAGCGCGATCCGCTCGCCGATCCGCGCGGAGACGGGCCGCGGGAGCGAGAGAGCAGCGGGCGGCCGAATTCGCGCGATCGATCGGATCGGTCGGTCCGCCCGCGATCTCTCTCTCTCTCTCTCTCTTTCTCTTTCTCCCTTCCCCGTTCCCGGAGAAACGGAATCAATGACTAGCGTGCTCGGGCGATACGTAGTCTGGAACTTTCCGGGACCGCCGTCCACGGAGATTTTCCTGTTGCGACTCCGCGTAACGGTTACTCCGGAACTCGGCGCGGGGCCGCGCGGGAGGGGGGGCGGCCGCCTCAGCGGACGGTCGAAGGTTGCGTGGCGATATATTTCGCGCGATTGCACATCGGCCGGGCATTACGAAGCGGGAATCGAGCCGAGACGATGGTCGCTCGCCCGCGGGTTACGACAGCGAGCTCGGAAAAGGAAAGATGGTAGCAGCCAGTAACCTGGCTACCAGGCCTGCGTGCACGCTCGCCTGACTCGCGTCGATTAACGACGCACCGGGGCGTCCGGGAGGAGTGAGAAAGAGAGGGAGAGGCGGGCAGAAGGAAAGAGTAAATTCGCTTATCACGGAAGAAACGCGCCTCTCGCGCGCGTCCGAAGCTCGCTCGTCGGCGATCCGGCGGACGTTTCTCCCGTGGCCCGCCGCCGATTTCGACAGGTTCCGTCAGATTTCGTGCCGCGTGCTCGGGCGTAAGTGCCCCGGGGCCCTTTGTTCGCCGAGCGTTCCGCGCGACACGAGCCATCCGAAACGCTCCGCTCGCTGGTCTATTCAATCGTATGCTCCTAGCCCCGCCGTGGACGCCATTTTGAAACTCGCACGGATCCGGCATGGGTGTTTCACGTTTCTCGGGCTCACGGGCGGGCCTGCGTCTCCGCCAATTCCGCGCGTGAGCGCGCCGCGAGACTCGGCATCGGTCGCGATAAGAGCCGCAGAAAAGGTGGCGCGAGAAACGAACGTTTGCACGCGCCGGTAAAGCCTAAGGTTTGTTTTCTGTTCCTGCACTGATGAACTAGTGCAATAAATTGGAGTAAGACAAGTATATTTTTTCTCATTCTAGCTTACTGCACTAGTTCACCAGTGCAGGAACAGAAAACAAGCCCCTAATCTACAATGTGCTCTCTGCGTCTAGAAACATTCTACTTTGTAGCCAATAAATACGTTTAACAACTTTGCGCAAGTTGATAAATTGTATATTATACACTGTATAATCGTACACCGTCGACGATTTTTTATAAGCGTTTCGATTTGTTTATATAAAATAGAATGTTTCTGGACGCAGAAAGCACGTTGTAGATTCGGCTTAAACGCTCGTTCCTCGCTTTCGGTAGATCGCTGGTGGTTCTTTTTCGCTCTGCTCGCGGTACAGGCGCGATTCGAAACTCTCAAGGTCGAATCGTAAGTTTCCCCGCCGGGGCCGCTCGGTGCCGAGTGCTTTTGTTGTCCATTGCACCTTATGTAACGACTCCTACTCGGTTAATTTAAATATTCGCAGAGACGCGGAAGGTTTGTTCGCGCCGCGGGTCCCACCAGGTCCCTACTCCGCCCCAACCGTCACTCTAGGCCTGTGTCCACGATGCTAGAACTTGTGGTCCAAGCTCTAGTTCCGAGAAATAGCCGCAGCCAATCGATCTGCAGCTTTTATGGAACAGCTGCAGGTTCCAGCATCGTGGACACGCCTTTAGATCGTACACTCAAAAAAAAAAAAATGTTGCAACTGCGGCAACAATTTTCTAGGTACGAAAAAACTGAGATGTATAAATGAACAGCCAGTACTTCGAAGTCGCGTGTAATTTGTATTTAATCAATTGAAATAACAGTAACAGAATTTCTGTCTCAACTGTCGGCGAATGTTGGGAAGAAAGTCTCCCCGTGACGCCCGTCCGTTGTAACGTTTGATTGTGGTACATAAACCGTCGTATTCCTTACGAAGATTGTTCTAGCTATGGTACCGAAATTCATTTTTGTCCAGTGGGAATGATTATTATTTAAGCCAACGGTACGCGATACTAGTTTTCCTACTGGATTGCTTGCGAGACCCAATTAGGATGCAGAGTTTAAAGCCAACGGCACACGATACTATTTTTTTCCTACTGGATTGCAAGAACCAATAAGGATGCAGAGTCTTCGATCAGATGACTCAAAGCTGAATCCTGATTGGCTCTCGTAAGGAATCCAGTAGTAAAAAAAATAGTATCGTGTGCCGTTGGCTTTAAGGCTGAATCCTGATTGGCTCTCGTAAGCAATCCAGTAGGAAAAATAGTATCGTGTGCCGCTGGCTTTAATTCGTTCTCTGTCTCTTTCCGACTGTTACTCTAGAAAGAGACAAACATGATTTAAACTTAAACCAACAGCACACGGTACCATTTTTCTTACTGGTTTCCTTACGAGAGTCAATCAGGATACGGAGTTTTAGATCAGGTGACTAAGGCTAAACCCTGATTGGCTCTCGTAAGCAGTCCAGTAGGAAAAGTAGTGTCGTGTGCCGTTGGCTTAAGATTGAAAGTTAATAGACATTGGTGAAACCGGGCCTCAGTCGTGAAACCTTAACTTTCCAGAAGATATTACTAGAATGTCGCTGCAATAAATCTTGTAGGCTGCAAACAATTCTCTAACAGATACACAAAGTAGCGACACCATTTTTGACACCCAGAACTCTACCTGCGTTAGTAAAATATTTTTTTGAGTGTAGATAAAATGACGATACTGGTGTAAAGCCACATGGTTGCGTTACGCGCTCGCTCTCCGTACCGGAGCACGTTTGAATTTATCGAGTATCGAGCCTATATCTAGTTATGCAACGCTACAAAAGTGATGCATTCGGTTTAGAGATTATGAATTAATTATGAGCAAGGCCTCGCTGTACCTTTTTGGTCGCGCGTGTGTATGTCGCAACATCTCGGCTTGTTCACTTCATCAATGTAAAGAGTAGAGTGTAGATGTATATATACATTGTCTCTGACGTCATTTTATCGGTGGATCAAACGCATTCGATGGAATTTATTATGCATTTTTTCGAGAAGTGAAACTTATTTCAAACTAGGGAAAATTGTTTGCGTGCGGTAGCACAGAAAGATGAGGGAATTTACACAGTTTTTTCCTGTTTTCAGCAGAAGCGTTTTTAAACTAACACAAACTACTTAACACACCGCGAAAATGGTTAAGGAGACTACATTTTATGACGTGTTGGGCGTGAAGCCTGGATGCTCGCAGGAAGATTTGAAGAAGGCCTATAGGAAGCTCGCTCTGAAATATCATCCCGATAAGAATCCCAATGAGGGCGACAAGGTTCGTATGGAAAAAAAAGTACAGGCAAATTAAAGTTTCAAATGTCGAACGTGCACAATAGAATAATTAGAATATTTACGAAACGTCGCGCGTGTCTTTCAGTTCAAGCAGATTTCCCAGGCGTACGAGGTATTGTCGAACCCTGAGAAGAAGCGTATCTACGATCAAGGTGGCGAGCAGGCGCTGAAGGAAGGCGGTATGAGTGGTACTAGCTTCTCATCTCCCATGGATATCTTCGACATGTTCTTTGGCGGGGGATTTGGCGGACGGGGCAGGGGGCGGAGGGAACACCGTGGTCAAGATGTCATGCACCAATTGTCAGTTTCCCTCGAGGAGCTCTACAAGGGGACTGTTCGTAAGCTCGCCCTGCAAAAGAACGTCATCTGCGAGAAATGCGAAGGTGATACGGTTGTGAAGACTGTCATGATTCCAAAAAAACGCTTGTAAACGACCCAATTTTTGTCTACTAGGTATCGGTGGGAAGAAAGGTTCTGTCGAGCAATGTACCACGTGTCACGGCTCTGGCTTGCAAGTACAAATCCAGCAATTAGGTCCGGGAATGTTGCAACATTTACAGACCATGTGCTCAGATTGCAAGGGACAGGGAGAACGTATCAATCCCCGTGATCGTTGCAAGATCTGCAATGGCAAAAAGACTGTTAGAGATAGAAAGATACTCGAGGTTCACGTTGATCCGGGCATGGTTGACGGCCAGAAGATAGTCTTCAGTGGCGAGGGTGATCAGGAGCCGGAGTACGAACCTGGGGATATAGTTATTCTTCTCGAGGAAAAGGATCATGAAGTGTTCAAGTTAGTAATATTATTGAATGAAATATTTCGCGGCTATGTCGTCTAACTGTCGCTAATACGCCGCGACCGATTAAATTGCAGGCGTTCGAGAAACGATTTGATTATGAGAATGCAATTGGAGCTCGTAGAGGCATTATGTGGATTCCAGAGAGTTATCCGCACCTTGGATGGCAGAGATCTAGTGATAACTTCGCTTCCCGGCACTGTGACGAAGCACGGTGACCTCAAGTGCATCTTGAACGAGGGCATGCCGATTTACAAGGATCCGTTTACGCACGGCAGGCTTATAATACAATTTATAGTCAATTTCCCGAAGAGCATAGATCCAGCGGTTATCCCGTCGTTGGAGCAATGCCTGCCGCCGAGGGAAGAGGTTATAATTCCAGACGGTTCCGAGGAGTGTATACTTACTGACTTAGATCCCGAGCAGGAGCAAAGGCGGAGAGATACGAGACAAGCGTACGAAGAGGACGAAGGCGGTCCATCGCGAGTCCAATGTGCCACACATTAATTTGATTACACTAACCCTGTAATAAACATAGCCGTTTCTTTCATTTCGAACTCTCTGTCCCATTCGCTCGATTCCGTATCATGCCTAAGAAAGAAACAACATGGATATGTTATATAGGCAGTGTTCGGTGAGCGAAAAAGAAATTGAAATAATTCAACTGTTCGGACGCAAGGCAGTAAGTACTAAGTTTTATCGATTCTTTAATAATAAATTTTACCCGTACTCGCTAAAATACATGGTGCAATTTTGAAAGTAAACCGAGTAACGAGAAGCACGCGTCTCCATTGCGATGGTCAAGTGTATCTGGTCGAGATGAGAATTTCGCTTACTTTTTCGCTTATTGAAGTTTATATAATTGTGTTGTTTCTTTCTGTGAGAGAATCGCTAAGGTGTGTACTTATCATTACATAATGATAAGGAAATTTAAATTTATTTAGATCTAACGTAAAGCTCCGACATCAGTCGTTACAGCATAATGAAAGGCATTATGTATTCTCGTGGATTTCGCGATTGTCTCTGCTGTTTGACCAATTGTGCTCCGATAACCAGCTAGCAGCTCGACAGTGACTACTACATGGCTAGAGTTAAATTTCATATATGTATATTTAGTTCAATTTCTGTGAATGATCCGTATACGATTATTTCCTCCAGATATTGATAGCAGCAAGCTTGATCGCTCCGGACCTTAAAGTCTGAAAATTGTTAACTTGTACGGTTTTTCTAGAATTCCAAGTAACATCGGGGTGTATCAATCGATGTGGAAACGGTATAAAGTACGCTTGGTTAAAGCCTTAACGATCATTAACCGTGTTAGAGAAACTTTTCAAAGTGGGACACTATTCCATACTCGTAGTATTTAATTTTTTTCCAGTCGCTTTTGTATACTGGCGTGTGACGATAAAAACGGAAACATACAATTTTGTTTGCGGACGATGCAGATAAAAAAAAACCCGGAGGAATCGCGTTTCTGTGCGTGTATGTGTGGACGATTGCGCGTATTTATAAAGCAGCTTTGTGCAATTACGACCGGACCGGATCTAACAACTTTTTTCTCTCTCTACATTTTCGCCAATGCTGACATTTTATTATACATTTTAGTGAAATCGATGGTTGTTGATTCAGTAAATTTCCTTGCTGGAAACTTACAGCGAGCAGGCGTGGTGTATTTCACAATGGATCATGTATTTCTACAAGTTTACCCCCGGATCGTTTTCACCGTTTGTCTTCATCAACGCGCATGAACAAATGCCCTAGATAATTCATGTAGATCCTGTACTATATCAAATTAATATACTTTCAATACACATTCACATAATTTACTGTATACATGGTCGTGTACTCGTCCGCAGTTACTATTAGCGAATTTTAATAAATAGCCACGTATGTCTTGTAATCTTATTTATTATAGGAAAAATTGGTGATTGATTAGGTATCTTTTTTTTTCAGCGTCTCAAATAAATTTGGAACTGTACAATGAGATTATCGATTTTACGCCCTCGCACAATCGGACCTGGAACTCCTCGCAATTGATTTAATCGATCGACTTGCGTCCCACGTAACTTCCCATTCACGGTTTACTAAATCGTCGTAATGTATTATTTAGGTCCGATTTCACCAACGTCGCTTTAAACCTGGCTTAATTCGTTCCTTGCCTCTTTTTAACTGTTACTTTAGAAAGAGACAAGCGTGAATTAGACCGAGATTAAAGTTGAACGGCGTTTGGTGAATCCTGGTTCTCTCGTTGCTAACCGAGTCTGCTACTTTTCAGTTTTCGTTTCGGAAAGGGTTAACATAAATTTTCAACGACGTAAACGAGAGGGAGATTCTATTATCCCGCGATATCAACCGAATGGCGAAGATAAAAGTGAGCTTTTACACGAATGAAATGAAAGCGGGGCAAATTTAAATATGTTGGCATCGATCGATCATTGTTTATTAAACGAGCGGCCGTAGATTGACGAATTCGTTATTTCGCGCCGGTGTGTTCGGTGAATGACTGATTCGATCGTTCCGCGTGAAATCAGAATCGTCGTTTATTAAACGCTCTGGGACAAGTCTCCTCAAGCGTATAGACACTTTTACATGGCAAACAGTAAGCTAGGCTAATGCATTTAATGTTTAGATTATACATGACGCAGTAAATAGAAGAAAGAAAGATATGACAATATGAGGGTTTAGATAACTCAGTAACAACATGAAACATATATAAAAAAATACGGT